CTTTTACTGGAAGGGTCTTTTAAAACACTATTGACTAAAATCTGTTTAATACTCTTACATCCCCTATGTACTATTTGAGGTTTTGGTGGCAAAATTTCCTTAAGGATTGGGTCATCCTGTAAAAGGTGCCAATATTTGTTAATGGCATATCTTACTTTTTTATTTTTTTGCTGAATAGTTACAAACAAAAGGGATCTTAAATTTATTTTTTCCTACATTTTGAGTTTTCTTTTTATTGTATGAAAGTAAATCACTTCTTTTTAGTCTTTGGATTTCCTCAATACTTGATTGTAAGTTTTCTTCATTATACCCCTTTTCTAAAAACTGGCTCTTTATAACTTGTGTCTGTGTTAAAAAATCTCTTTCTTGCGTGCAGTTTCTTCTTAGTCTCATGAATTGGCTCTTTGGTGCATTCGTAAGCCATGGGGTATGATGACAGCTTGTTAAGTCAATATATCCATTGCAATCCACCTCTTTAAAATAATTTTTGGTGTAAAGTATCCCTTCTTCTATAAAAATATTCAAATCTAAAAAATTGATGTCTGAATTGCTGTGGGTGGAGGTGAGTCTAATCCCCCAATCATTGTTATTTAAAAAAGTTAAAAAATGTTCCAGACTGGTTTCATCTCCTTTCCAAATAAAAAATATATCATCAATGAAACGACGATAGGTGACCAAGTTCGCTGCAAAGTGACTGTGCAGAATAAATGTCTCTTCCCAGTACGCCATAAATAAATTGGCGTAACTGGGTGCGAACTTGGTCCCCATCGCCGTTCCATTGATTTGGAGATAGAAACTGTCCTTAAACCAAAAAAAGTTGTTAGTTAAAATGAGAAATATCCCTTCTTTGATAAAGTCTATCTGTTCCTGTTTAAAATCAGACCGTTCTAAAAAGTATTGCACTGCCTCAATTCCTTTACTGTGCGGGATGATACTATACAGGGAGCTTACATCACAAGTTACTAGTATGAAATTCTTTTCCCATATAATATTACTTAAAATCTGGAGGATGTGTATTGTGTCCTTCAAATATGTAACATTCTTTACAACTATTGGTTGGAGAAGGACATCAATATATTCTGATGTTCTTGATGATATACTATCCACTCCAGAAATTATGGGTCTCCCTGGGGGGTCTGTTAAGTGCTTGTGCATTTTTGGTAAACAGTAAAACACTGGGATTTGTGGATTCTGAATATTCAGGTATTTAGCCTCTGAATCCGATAGAATCAAATTTTCTAATCCTTCTCTAATATATTCCTCAAACTTAACTGCAACTTCCCGGCTTGGATTTGATGGTAGCTTCCTATATGTCTGGACATCCGATAGTAGTCTTTCTGCCTCCCCTATATATTTGTCTTTAGATAAGACCACTACCCCCCCCCCTTGTCCGCCGGCTTAATAATGAGGTCTTCATTCTGTTGTATATTTTTCAAAGTTTTTGTTCCAGTGGAGGAGAGATTCTTTTGATATTTGTTAGTATGTTTAATCTTACTAACCTCCTTCATCACCATTGTCTCAAAAGTCTGTATCTCACTAGAGATCATATTTTTCGGAAAAAATTTTGATTTTTCTTTCAAATTACTGTGTATGAATGGGGAGATGGCGGTTGGTTCTATTATATCATTCCTATTGTGAAAAAACTTTTTCAAACATAATTGTCTAATAAAACGATTAAGATCAATAAAAAATTCAAAAGGTTTAAAATCGGATGTCGGTGCGAACTTTAATCCCTTGTTTAAAATTTCGAATTCATTTCTATTTAACTCTTTTCCTGAAAGATTAAAAATCCCTTTGCATTCTACATCCTCCCTCTCTTCTCCCTGTTGTGTTTCCTTTCCTCCTCGTCTTCTATTTCTCCTTCTTCCCACGACCTTCTCCTTTTGCCTGGTGAATCCCATTCCCGTAGTTCTTGTGTCTGTTTGAATCTGGGTTGGATTGTACTCCCGTGAAAAGGGGAAGTCCTGGGTGAGGTGTTATGTTCCAAAATCTGGAAGCGATTTTGGACGTCGACCTTCTAATGTATTCTGTTGTCTCCTAGGGGACTTCTGGGTATTCCTTATAGGGTTGTGACGATTCTCTGGAACACTAGTCACTACCTCACTATAGCTTCTAACATAATCACTTTTTCTTGGATCCTGCCTAATAGTGTTGCCATTATGTGAGGAATGGATTCCATATCTCTCTCCTTGTCTTTTAAATTCTGGATTCACTATACGTTCACTTCTCCCCTCTACTCTCTTGTAATTGGCATGATATCTATCATTTCTTTGGAATTGTGGGTACCTCTGACTTCTATTTCTCTGTGAGTGATAATTCTGTTGGTGATATCTTTCTTTGCTAGGGGATCTTTTTCTTCTATTCTGTCTCTGGTGACTTTGCATTCTTCCCCTATATTGTTTATTCAAACTCTCTATTTTTTTATTGCTTCTTATATTGCCTGTTCTATAGTCTTCTAAATCTCTCAAATATTTGCATCTCTTAGTATCTATCACTTCTCTCTCTATTTTATCTATTTTTCTTTTTATCTCCACAATAGTCTCATTGAATGTTTCTGGACTAGTAGTATCACTTAGGCCTTTTTTAGAGTTTTTTATTTCCTCATCCAGCTTGATCAGGTTTTCTTCTCTCCTTGCTACTATATATCCCATCAAGCTGAATGAGAATCCATCCAGAAGCTTGTTCCAACCCTCCATAAAGTACTTATCCTCTCGATCGAAAGAGGGATCTTTAGAAAATCTTAAACCTCTAGGAGTGATTTTCTCTTTAACATATTTTTTTAGGGTGGCAATTTCCCACTTTGATTTCATTTCTTTAATCAAAGCTTTCTCCAATTGGTATTTATACATATCTTTATCAACATAAACAGTTTCAGTGTTGTCTTCTGTTGTTATAGAGAACAATGAGTCTATGTTATCTATCATATAGTTCCTTTTATCTAGGAATGACATTTTGACTAGTGGGTGTGTACAAAGGGAAAAAAAAGAACACTGTATGTAAACAAAACAAGTGCACACTCCACCAGAAAGGTGAAATTAGGCTCTACACTTAAGTAAAGGATTCCCTTAACCTTCACAAATCACAAACAAAAAAATACAAAAATAAGTGGAGCACTAAGATACCTGTACAATTGTAGATATGATGTATGTTATAGCCTGCAAATAACAGACAACCAAATCATAGTGCAGACAAATGTGGTGCAAATGAAAAATGGAGAACAATACACATATAAAATGTAAACTCACAAATATAGAGCCATAGGGTCACCTGGCTCTAGTGATATACGCCTTGGGATCTTTAAAGGGGATCCACTGCCCTCTTCTTGTATCCTCCTGGTGTCTTTAACTTCCAAATGAAAGATAAGAATGCAAATAGGTCAGTTTCCAAAGGATCAGGAAGAAATTGGGAAGGAAGAGATGTCATTTATTTATAATTTTAACACTTTAGTTCCGTTTGGATTAAATTTAGATTTTGAGCTTTGTCATTTTTTATAAACATCTCTTCCTTAAGATCTCCATCTTTCAATAATTCCCCCCCCCATTTTATCACTTTGGGTATATCTATAAGTAATGGGTTAGATTCCCCCAATATTTCATTACCAGTATTTCATATTTTATATTTTATTCCTTTTATCTGAATTGTGGATGTCACTGTCAATTATCTTTAAATCAGCCCCCTCATTTTATTAGATATCATTCTATCAACTGTGATTACTAATTTTAAAGGTCATTTTAGTGTTTATAGTTTTTTATTTTTTAATTAATAGTAAATCGCTTATATAATCCCTGTTTTGATACTTCCTTTTGTCTCTCTCCCTTTACTCGTTTTTAAATGAATTTAATTTGCGAGTTTTGGACTTATTAGATATAAAGACGCTTTATGAACATCTATGTAAATGAACTGGATGGAACGCAATGATTGCGTTCCACGAAGAACGAATAGGAGGACAAACAGAAGATTACAGCGGCTATCCGGTCACGTGTGCGTCTCACAGGCCGATCACGTGTGCGTCCCACGAATAGAATTTCCGGGTTTACGGATGCCGGTATGGACGCGCTAATGAAACGTACGTCCCGTGAAATACCACATCTGACAACACAGATGCCAACAATCAAGTAATTTACCTCCTATAAAAGCAGGAAGAGTGTCATTTGAAAAATTACACCAACTGAGGAAGCCAGCTTCTGGCGAAACGCGTTTTGGTTTATATGACTATTTTATATTTTATTTTGATTCATTTGAATCTTTGTTTTTATTTGTTAAGATTTATTTGAGTTTATTTTTGTCCAATAAATTTCTTCCTGATCCTTTGGAAACTGACCTATTTGCATTCTTATCTTTCATTTGGAAGTTAAAGACACCAGGAGGATACAAGAAGAGGGCAGTGGATCCCCTTTAAAGATCCCAAGGCGTATATCACTAGAGCCAGGTGACCCTGTGGCTCTATATTTGTGAGTTTACATTTTATATGTGTATTGTTCTCCATTTTTCATTTGCACCACATTTGTCTGCACTATGATTTGGTTGTCTGTTATTTGCAGGCTTTAACATACATCATATCTACAATTGTACAGGTATCTTAGTGCTCCACTTATTTTTGTATTTTTTTGTTTGTGATTTGTGAAGGTTAAGGGAATCCTTTACTTAAGTGTAGAGCCTAATTTCACCTTTCTGGTGGAGTGTGCACTTGTTTTGTTTACATACAGTGTTCTTTTTTTTCCCTTTGTACACACCCACTAGTCAAAATGTCATTCCTAGATAAAAGGAACTATATGATAGATAACATAGACTCATTGTTCTCTATAACAACAGAAGACAACACTGAAACTGTTTATGTTGATAAAGATATGTATAAATACCAATTGGAGAAAGCTTTGATTAAAGAAATGAAATCAAAGTGGGAAATTGCCACCCTAAAAAAATATGTTAAAGAGAAAATCACTCCTAGAGGTTTAAGATTTTCTAAAGATCCCTCTTTCGATCGAGAGGATAAGTACTTTATGGAGGGTTGGAACAAGCTTCTGGATGGATTCTCATTCAGCTTGATGGGATATATAGTAGCAAGGAGAGAAGAAAACCTGATCAAGCTGGATGAGGAAATAAAAAACTCTAAAAAAGGCCTAAGTGATACTACTAATCCAGAAACATTCAATGAGACTATTGTGGAGATAAAAAGAAAAATAGATAAAATAGAGAGAGAAGTGATAGATACTAAGACATGCAAATATTTGAGAGATTTAGAAGACTATAGAACAGGCAATATAAGAAGCAATAAAAAAATAGAGAGTTTGAATAAACAATATAGGGGAAGAATGCAAAGTCACCAGAGACAGAATAGAAGAAAAAGATCCCCTAGCAAAGAAAGATATCACCAACAGAATTATCACTCACAGAGAAATAGAAGTCAGAGGTACCCACAATTCCAAAGAAATGATAGATATCATGCCAATTACAAGAGAGTAGAGGGGAGAAGTGAACGTATAGTGAATCCAGAATTTAAAAGACAAGGAGAGAGATATGGAATCCATTCCTCACATAATGGCAACACTATTAGGCAGGATCCTAGAAAAAGTGATTATGTTAGAAGCTATAGTGAGGTAGTGACTAGTGTTCCAGAGAATCGTCACAACCCTATAAGGAATACCCAGAAGTCCCCTAGGAGACAACAGAATACATTAGAAGGTCGACGTCCAACCACCTATAATCGCTTCCAGATTTTGGAACATAACACCTCACCCAGGACTTCCCCTTTTCACGGGAGTACAATCCAACCCAGATTCAAACAGACACAAGAACTACGGGAATGGGATTCACCAGGCAAAAGGAGAAGGTCGTGGGAAGAAGGAGAAATAGAAGACGAGGAGGAAAGGAAACACAACAGGGAGAAGAGAGGGAGGATGTAGAATGCAAAGGGATTTTTAATCTTTCAGGAAAAGAGTTAAATAGAAATGAATTCGAAATTTTAAACAAGGGATTAAAGTTCGCACCGACATCCGATTTTAAACCTTTTGAATTTTTTATTGATCTTAATCGTTTTATTAGACAATTATGTTTGAAAAAGTTTTTTCACAATAGGAATGATATAATAGAACCAACCGCCATCTCCCCATTCATACACAGTAATTTGAAAGAAAAATCAAAATTTTTTCCGAAAAATATGATCTCTAGTGAGATACAGACTTTTGAGACAATGGTGATGAAGGAGGTTAGTAAGATTAAACATACTAACAAATATCAAAAGAATCTCTCCTCCACTGGAACAAAAACTTTGAAAAATATACAACAGAATGAAGACCTCATTATTAAGCCGGCGGACAAGGGGGGGGGGTAGTGGTCTTATCTAAAGACAAATATATAGGGGAGGCAGAAAGACTACTATCGGATGTCCAGACATATAGGAAGCTACCATCAAATCCAAGCCGGGAAGTTGCAGTTAAGTTTGAGGAATATATTAGAGAAGGATTAGAAAATTTGATTCTATCGGATTCAGAGGCTAAATACCTGAATATTCAGAATCCACAAATCCCAGTGTTTTACTGTTTACCAAAAATGCACAAGCACTTAACAGACCCCCCAGGGAGACCCATAATTTCTGGAGTGGATAGTATATCATCAAGAACATCAGAATATATTGATGTCCTTCTCCAACCAATAGTTGTAAAGAATGTTACATATTTGAAGGACACAATACACATCCTCCAGATTTTAAGTAATATTATATGGGAAAAGAATTTCATACTAGTAACTTGTGATGTAAGCTCCCTGTATAGTATCATCCCGCACAGTAAAGGAATTGAGGCAGTGCAATACTTTTTAGAACGGTCTGATTTTAAACAGGAACAGATAGACTTTATCAAAGAAGGGATATTTCTCATTTTAACTAACAACTTTTTTTGGTTTAAGGACAGTTTCTATCTCCAAATCAATGGAACGGCGATGGGGACCAAGTTCGCACCCAGTTACGCCAATTTATTTATGGCGTACTGGGAAGAGACATTTATTCTGCACAGTCACTTTGCAGCGAACTTGGTCACCTATCGTCGTTTCATTGATGATATATTTTTTATTTGGAAAGGAGATGAAACCAGTCTGGAACATTTTTTAACTTTTTTAAATAACAATGATTGGGGGATTAGACTCACCTCCACCCACAGCAATTCAGACATCAATTTTTTAGATTTGAATATTTTTATAGAAGAAGGGATACTTTACACCAAAAATTATTTTAAAGAGGTGGATTGCAATGGATATATTGACTTAACAAGCTGTCATCATACCCCATGGCTTACGAATGCACCAAAGAGCCAATTCATGAGACTAAGAAGAAACTGCACGCAAGAAAGAGATTTTTTAACACAGACACAAGTTATAAAGAGCCAGTTTTTAGAAAAGGGGTATAATGAAGAAAACTTACAATCAAGTATTGAGGAAATCCAAAGACTAAAAAGAAGTGATTTACTTTCATACAATAAAAAGAAAACTCAAAATGTAGGAAAAAATAAATTTAAGATCCCTTTTGTTTGTAACTATTCAGCAAAAAATAAAAAAGTAAGATATGCCATTAACAAATATTGGCACCTTTTACAGGATGACCCAATCCTTAAGGAACTTTTGCCACCAAAACCTCAAATAGTACATAGGGGATGTAAGAGTATTAAACAGATTTTAGTCAATAGTGTTTTAAAAGACCCTTCCAGTAAAAGTGATAATTTCCTTACAAAAAGTAAAGGTTTTTATGGATGTGGATCATGCTTAGCATGCAGGGAAACTAATAGTAAAAAAAGAAATATTAAAAACACTAAAGAGATTAGTAATAAAGAATATGATATAAGAGATCAATTGACTTGTTATTCCAAGAATATTATCTACCTCTTAATATGCCCTTGCAATAAAATGTATATAGGGAGGACAATAAGATGCTTACATATTAGGGTTTCCGAACATATAAGGAACATCAAGAAAGGTATAGAAACCCATAGTGTCCCTCAACATTTTAAACAATACCATAGTCAGAATCCACAGGGACTTGTATTTTGTGCATTAAAATTGATTAAGAGGAAGTGGAGAGGTGGAGATTTCTTACAACAAATTGGGAAGGAAGAGATGTCATTTATTTATAATTTTAACACTTTAGTTCCGTTTGGATTAAATTTAGATTTTGAGCTTTGTCATTTTTTATAAACATCTCTTCCTTAAGATCTCCATCTTTCAATAATTCCCCCCCCCCATTTTATCACTTTGGGTATATCTATAAGTAATGGGTTAGATTCCCCCAATATTTCATTACCAGTATTTCATATTTTATATTTTATTCCTTTTATCTGAATTGTGGATGTCACTGTCAATTATCTTTAAATCAGCCCCCTCATTTTATTAGATATCATTCTATCAACTGTGATTACTAATTTTAAAGGTCATTTTAGTGTTTATAGTTTTTTATTTTTTAATTAATAGTAAATCGCTTATATAATCCCTGTTTTGATACTTCCTTTTGTCTCTCTCCCTTTACTCATTTTTAAATGAATTTAATTTGCGAGTTTTGGACTTATTAGATATAAAGACGCTTTATGAACATCTATGTAAATGAACTGGATGGAACGCAATGATTGCGTTCCACGAAGAACGAATAGGAGGACAAACAGAAGATTACAGCGGCTATCCGGTCACGTGTGCGTCTCACAGGCCGATCACGTGTGCGTCCCACGAATAGAATTTCCGGGTTTACGGATGCCGGTATGGACGCGCTAATGAAACGTACGTCCCGTGAAATACCACATCTGACAACACAGATGCCAACAATCAAGTAATTTACCTCCTATAAAAGCAGGAAGAGTGTCATTTGAAAAATTACACCAACTGAGGAAGCCAGCTTCTGGCGAAACGCGTTTTGGTTTATATGACTATTTTATATTTTATTTTGATTCATTTGAATCTTTGTTTTTATTTGTTAAGATTTATTTGAGTTTATTTTTGTCCAATAAATTTCTTCCTGATCCTTTGGAAACTGACCTATTTGCATTCTTATCTTTCATTTGGAAGTTAAAGACACCAGGAGGATACAAGAAGAGGGCAGTGGATCCCCTTTAAAGATCCCAAGGCGTATATCACTAGAGCCAGGTGACCCTGTGGCTCTATATTTGTGAGTTTACATTTTATATGTGTATTGTTCTCCATTTTTCATTTGCACCACATTTGTCTGCACTATGATTTGGTTGTCTGTTATTTGCAGGCTATAACATACATCATATCTACAATTGTACAGGTATCTTAGTGCTCCACTTATTTTTGTATTTTTTTGTTTGTGATTTGTGAAGGTTAAGGGAATCCTTTACTTAAGTGTAGAGCCTAATTTCACCTTTCTGGTGGAGTGTGCACTTGTTTTGTTTACATAAGTCATAACAATAGACAATCACAGTCTGCTTAAACTAATAACACACAAAGAATGAAATGTTGTCATGTTTTTATTGAACACACCATGTAAACATTCACAGTGCAGGTGGAAAAAGTATGTGAACCCCTAGACCCATGACATCTCCAAGAGCTAATTGGAGTGAGATGTCAGCCAACTGGAGTCCAATCAATAAGATGAGATTGGAGGTGTTGGTTACAGCTGCCCTGCTCTATAAAAAACACACACCAGTTCTGGGTTTGCTTTTCACAAGAAGCAATGCCTGATGTGAATGATGCCTCAAACAAAATAGCTCTCAGAAGACCTACGATTAAGAATTGTTGACTTGCATAAAGCTGGAAAGGGTTATAAAAGTATCTCCAAAAGCCTTGCTGTTCATCAGTCCACGGTAAGACAAATTGTCTATAAATTGAGAAAGTTCAGCACAGCTGCTACTCTCCCTAGGAGTGGCCGTCCTGTAAAGATGACTGCAAGAGCACAGCGCAGACTGCTCAATGAGGTGAAGAAGAATCCTAGAGTGTCAGCTAAAGACTTACAAAAGTCACTGGCAAATGCTAACATCCCTGTTAGCGAATCTACAATACGTAAAACACTAAACAAGAATGGATTTCATGGGAGGATACCACAGAGGAAGCCACTGCTGTCCAAACAAAACATTGCTGCACGTTTACAGTTTGCACAAGAGCACCTGGATGTTCCACAGCAGTACTGGCAAAATATTCTGTGGACAGATGAAACCAAAGTTGAGTTGTTTGTAAGAAACACACAACACTATGTGTGGCAAAAAAAAGGCACAGCACACCAACATCAAAACCTCATCCCAACTGTGAAGTATGGTGGTGGGGGCATCATGGTTTGGGGCTGCTTTGTTACGTCAGGGCCAGGACGGATTGCTATCATTGAAGGAAAAATTAATTCCTAAGTTTATCAAGACATTTTGCAGGAGAACTTAAGGCCATCTGTCTACCAGCTGAAGCTCAACAGAAGATGGGTATTGCAACAGGACAATGACTCAAGGCATAGAAGTAAATCAACAACAGAATGGCTTAAACAGAAGAAAATACGCCTTCTGAAGTGGCCCAGTCAGAGTCCTGACCTCAACCTGATTGAGATGCTGTGGCATGACCTCAAGAAAGCGATTCACACCAGACATCCCAAGAATATTGCTGAACTGAAACAGTTCTGTAAAGAGGAATGGTCAAGAATTACTCCTGACCGTTGTGCACGTCTGATCTGCAACTACAGGAAACGTTTGGTTGTAGTTATTGTTGCCAAAGGAGGTTCAACCAGTTATTAAATCCAAGGGTTCACATACCTTTTCCACCTGCACTGTGAATGTTTACATGGTGTGTTCAATAAAAACATGGCAACATTTCATTCTTTGTGTTTTATTAGTTTAAGCAGACTGTGATTGTCTATTGTTGTGACTTAGATGATGATCAGATCACATTTTATGACCAATTTGTGCAGAAATCCATATCATTCCAAAGGGTT